GTCTATTTTAGTCACCTCAGCCATGCGGGTTCTTCCTGCCACTCGGGCTGTGACGAAATCATCACTCAGGTTGTCCGCCAGCTTCTGGGCCTCCTCGTTGTTTCCTGTAGTTCCCAGGATTACGTCACCTCTCAAGGTTTCCCTTATTGCTTTGATGGCCACTTCTGATGTCATTGTCTTGAGTTTCTCCTTTACATTCCTCAGGGTCTCGTCATACCCCTTTCCTCCATGGGGTATGACAACGGCACCCTCTCGGGCTTTAACCTCTTTGGTAGGGGGGGGGCTGTTTCCGTTTGTGTGGGATTTTTCTGTCGTGGGGTGTTGTCCCTTTTTCCACCCTTTCTGGCAACTTCGCTCCATGTGTGGGCTTTGTTTTTTGCTCCACTTCCCAGTAGTACGACATCCAGGTTCTCCCCACGCCATAACTCTTTAAGTTCGTTCTCCAGGTTATCGTGCCCTGGCAGTGGCTTAAGGGCAAGCCTCCTGATATTCCTCTCCCCCAACCTTATGCTCAGTTCCCTTAGGCACTCCATCCGCCCATCTGCTGTGCCATTATCGGTGTTGTCCGTCGAGATAACCCTTTGCTCCACAGGAATTACTCTGCCTGTCTGCATAGCGTCCCCTGGAAAGCGCTGGTTAAATTCTTAGGCAGTGGTCCACTTCGTCCTGGCAGCTCCATCAGAGATTTTCTGGGACTCTTCAAGCCATCTGACTTTTAGTCTGGTCTCTATCAGCTTGGGGCAGTCGCAGGATATATTGCCCTCTGTCTGTGCACATGTGTGCTTCTCTCTGTTCTCTTCTCCTCGTCTGGGGCCTGGGTGTCCGCGTCATGGGTCATCTTGAGAGCCCGGATTTCTTTCAGCCCTGTAAGCCATTCACTAACCGACTATCTCTACAGGACGTTCACCTCCCTTTTCAGGAACGTTTCAATATCCCTAATCTTTCTATTTGTATTCTGGTTTTCGCTAATTACTTTCTCCAAGTTCCTGTAGAGAGTTCCAATTTCAAGCATGCTTTCTTCCACCAGCGCCGCAATAGGGCAATTAGTCTTGTTGTACGCTGCAAGTTCTTCCGTCTGCCTTTTCCACTTTTTTTATCCTCACTGTTCAGAAGGGGGGTGGGGTATTTTCTCGCCAACATCTCGGTTAGGAGCGATTGGCCTACTAGATAGCCTCTCCTCTCCTTTATCCTGGTTTCCAGGTCTTCTCTACTCGCGGAGGTTTGTAGTTCCTCGTCCCACGTAAGATCCAGAACCCCGACAGACCCTCTTCTACTGAGGTCACCTTTTTTCCCTGTCACTATCTTTATGCTCTCCTTCGACCCGCTTAGCGTCGCACTTTTGGTCGGATTACCTTGCGCCCCAGCCTGTTTTCCTGCCAAGGGTGTTAAGAAACTAGAGGGCCTAAACCCTTTTTTTTTTTAGAGGTTTGGGGGAATGCATTACGCACGTTACCCGGCTGGTGTTCTGGCACCGTTTATGTGTGGGACTCTGATCCGTAGATCTATACCCACTAAACCCCCTTTCCTCTCTTCGTGGTTGTTCATGTCGGGGACCGCCTCTCAGCATTACTTCCGCCATGCCACGGTGCTTTACTGCCCCCTGCTATCATCGGCATCCTTCGTTTTCAGGATCTGTACCATCAGTCCCGCTATTATGTCCCACTCATCCTGGTACCCCAGCATTACTTCGACGATGTCTCCTGGTGTTATCGGGTGTCCGATCGCCAACCACGCTTTTATCCTTTCCACGTATCATTTCGGGCAGTGGAAGATGTTGTGTTCCGCTGTGTCCAGGTCTCCACAGTCCCTACAGTTGGGCGTATCTCTTCTGCCGTATTTGTGGAGGTACATCCCAAAGGGCCCATGTCCCGTCAGCATCTGCGTGAGGGAGTACCCCACCTCCCCATGTTTCCTGCCAACCCACTGTTCTATGTTAGGGATCAGTCTCCTCGTCCAAATCCCCACGGTCTCGCTCTTCCATCGCTCCTGCCAAGCAGTCAATGTGTGTCCCTTTGCCTGTTCCGCCCTCTCGCCTCCTGCGGCCAGGCTGGCCCTCTCTTCGGCCAGCAGGTCCATTGGGTGTACCCCCGCTACGACCATTGCGGCCGCTCCCGACACGTCATGTCGCAGGGCCATCCTCCTCTGCATCCTGTTCAGTGCCTCCCGGTGCCTCTTATGGCGCAACGCCTCCACCCAGAAAGGCGCCGCGTACAGCATCTGCGACCTCCCAACGCTGCAGATCAGCCTTCTGGTGCTCGCCCTCGGGCCCCCGACATTTGGCATCAGTCAGCTGAGGCTGTTTATTGTTATGCCAGCTCTTTGTACCATTTTGGAGATGTGGACACCCATGTTCCATCCATGTCCGATCCACACCCCCAGGTACTTCAGCATCGGTGCTGACCTTACTCTGCAGCCACCCACTCCGAACTCGAGCTCGGGCATTCTTCTCTGGCCCACCAGGACCACTGCCTCCGTCTTGTGGGCAGCCAGACTAAGTCCCACGCTGCTGAGCCAGTAGGTAATCGTCTCAGCTGCATCCTGCAGCCGCTGTTGCAGCCTCTCCCTCGTTCTAGCCACACCTACCATGGCCAGGTCATCCGCATAGCCCAAAAGTGTTACCCCCTCTGGGACTGTAAGCTCCAGGACCGGGTCATACATGACCGTCCATAGCAGTGGACCCAACACTGATCCTTGAGGTACCCCACACTCCATCTTTACGGATTCCCGCCCCACGCTTACTTCCCTTCCCTATAGGTAGGACGCCACTGCTTTCCTCAAGTACGCAGAAATGTTCCTGCGCTCCAGCTGCTGCAGTATGGCCCCCCACTGCGCCGTGTTGAAAGCGTTCCTGACATCCAACGTTGCCATCGCGCAGAGCTTCCTATTGGTGTAGGATACACTCTTTACCCCGTCAACAATCTCCCTCAGAGCCCTTAACGCAGTCTCCGTTGATCGCCCCGGTCGGAAGCCGTGTTGTTTTCCCGACAGGTCTCCTCCCAACACGATTTCCTCCCGTAGCTTGCGGGCCGCCGCTGTGACCCCCTCTACTGTCACAGCAGGTCCCTCCTCCTGCACCTCCTCGAATCTCCTCCAGTCCACCGCTATGCTTTCCGGGAAAAACTTTCTGGCCCACTTCACCTTCTCTTCCTGTCGCATAGGAGGGGCCCTGGCGCCCATTTTTCGAGTTACAATCTGGTAGGCCTAACCCCAGATGTGGCTGTCAACCTCCTCGATCAGCCTTCTCCAGCAGTCGGCTTTCGACCGGAGGATTGCTACCTTCAGCTTTTTTCTAGCTGTCTTTAGCCCCGCTGTGAGCTCCTCTAGCTGTTCCATGCTCGTGTTTCTCCTCCTGGCTCTGGTGATCGCCCTGCGCGCCCTGCCACTCTCCTCTCTGGCGGCTTCGATGTCCGCCGTCCACCAGTACTTAGGTTTTCGCCGTCTGCTGGTGGGCGTAGGCTTAAGTGACTGCCTGCAAGCCTCCACAATGGCCTCAATTCACACCTGGCATGCGCTCGCACCTTTTGACATCGCCTCCCTCTCCTTTACCGCCTCGACGATCTTTCCTCTATCCGAGGCTTTAGCCCGCCATCTCTGCCTTACCTTGGCTCCCCCCAGCAATCGTAAGGTGTATATCCCTGTGATCGCTGAGGTTCTCCTCCTCCGACACCTGCCACTCTACACCTCTGGCATATAGAGCCGCCGACATCGCCGTCACGTCCAGGAAGGACTCCTGTGCCCCCCTCGCAAAAGTCGCGATCGTCCCATCGTTAACTACGATGAGGTCCAGCGACGCCAGCGTGTCCATGAGCCGCCTCCCCCTCCCGTCTTCATGCGTGCCTCCCCATAGGGGGGACTTTGCATTAAAGTCCCCGCACATAATCAGCTCCGTAGCGGCAGTCCTTGCCATTGCTTCCATCCGGCCAAGGAACGCCTCGAAGTCCTCCATTATTATATTGGGCGATGAGTAGCCTGCCACGACAGTGATGTCCCCAAGGCGGGCCCTCACTACCCCTTCCGCCCTACTGACCTCCGTGATCCTGGTTTTACCCAGGGCTATTATGGCCACGTCTCATCCACGTCTCATCCATCGCCACCCGCATGCCTTCAGCTCTGGCACGGTTTGGCTCACCTACTATGAGTAGGTCCACCCTCCTTTGTTCGGCGGTTTGCAAGGCCAGGTCCCAGGCCTCCCGACTGCGATTCTGGTTCGCCTGCATGATCCTGGTTTTGCAGTACCCCCGCTCGCCTCCAGCTTTCTCTGCTCCTACCCCGTCTTGGGTTGGGCGGGGGGTTGCCGAAAATCCTGCTCCTCCCTTGTTTTAACCGCTTTCCGTACATCTGCGCCTTCCGATGTTCGAGTGGGGCACTCGCTGATCCTATGCCCCGCCCTATTACACCCTATGCAAACCCTTTCGTTCGAGCACTCCCTGGCTTTGTGGCCTGCCTTTCCACATTTAAAGCAGCACCCTGACCTGTCTGGCCCTTTGCAGTTGGCCGCCCGGTGCCCATGTTCCTGGCACCTGTAGCAGCGGTTGTCAGCTGCTGTCTCCCTTATCCTGCAGACAACCGGCCCTATCCTTATACGCCCCACTTCCACCAGCCTGTCAATTGCCCCTCTGCAGGCTGTTACCCGTACAGCCTGTGTGCGACCGTGCGTGGTTCTCATAGCGCCCACTACCAGCTCTGCCTTCTGCGCTTCCTCTGCCCCCAGCGCTTCTTTCAGCGCCTCCCTGACCTCCTCTACCGTGGCCAGTCCGTCCATCCCTACGATCTCCGCTCTTCCGGAGCCCCTGACGGTCCTGGCCTGCAGGGTGTGGAGCTTATCCCTAAGTCTGAGGGCACTCTCCTCGCCGTCTGTCCGGAGCACCACTGCGTTGCCCCCTCTAGATTCCATTATCGTCTTTATCTTTAGGTCTCCTTCCTCCTTGGTGAGCTCCCTGATCTCTTTGAGGGTCTTCTCATACCCTCTGTCCCCAACATCTACCGTTATCACGCCTGCACTAGGCCTCCTCCCAGCGCGCTGTTCCTGTGCAGCTTGGGGGCCTTTTTTTGGTCTCCCTGGCCACATAGGACTTTCCAGCGTTTTCCAGAACAAGGGCGTATGTGGTTCTTTGCTTCCCGCTACTATTCGATTTCCCACCTTGTTTGAAGATATGCACTTGTGTATCTGTGCCATGGAAAACGCATTCGACTATTTTCCTTAGCCTCTCTGTTTCTATTCCTTTTAGCGTGTGCATAGCCACCCTTTTTTCATTTGTTATTTCCTGTTTAATTTTAAGAATATTGTCCCAAAGGTCATTTTCCGTGCCAGTAATCGAAGCCTTGATAATTTTTTTCCTGGTTTCTTTCTCGGTGTTTCCAGTACGTGTGTAGATTCGTTGTTCTACAATGTCAGACTTACTGTCGCTTATCAGCTCGGGGTAGCGTTCCGCGTATATTTTTTGGATTCCCCTCTCCAGTTTTGGATCTGTTGGTTCTATCATTACCACCTTCGTTATTGTGTCTTCTGTTTCTAGCGGGTTTCCGATTTTAATTTCCGTGTTGGAGTATTGATATTCCTCCCACATCTGATCTGTCACCTCTGTGAATGCCTCCCAGGAGTCTATTTTTTCTATCCTGATCTTCCCATTTTCTGGTTCGACCTTGTTTTCTGTTTGTGTGTCTGCGTCTATCAACATTTTTTCGACTCTTTCGTACCTGTGTTCTTCTAACCAGTTCTGTACGATCCTTCTGTTGATTATTCCCGCTTTGTATTCTGCTCCATGTGCTGCTCCAGTGTTTTCCCTATCCTGGTTATTTCCCCTAGAGCTTCTCTGATAACAAAGACCTCTGAGCTTTCTTTGATCTTATACGCCTCAACGCTGCTAAAAGAGGTATCCATGTTCTTTTGCTTCTTGTCTGTGTTTAGCGAGTTGCACCTTACTATCTCTGTAGAGAGATTTAGGTTACATGGAGTTGTCAGGCTCCCTCGTCTAGTTCCATCCTTCGCGGCTTCTGCCATTTTGTTGATCATTCTCGTCAGTGTTCCATCACTCCTCAGTGGTATCCCAGTAGCTGTTGCCCAGCACCCGGGCTGGTTTGCCCCCGAGGCCGTACAGTCGCTGGTTCACGATCGGGTGGGGCCTGCACTGCCACCACCATTCCCGACCGGTTCTGGGGTTCCGATCCCCTGTCCCGTAAGCATTGACCCTTTTACGGACTTCATGCTTGGTTTTTTTCAATGGTGTCCCTCCATCGCCTTTTATACCTTCGGCCAGGTGAGTGTTTTTTGGTCCGCGAGAGTTATTTGATTTGGCTCCTGCCACCCATATCTGGGAGGCGTTCCCCTATCCGCCACCCGGGGACGCGCCACGATGGAGGAAACACACAAAACCCCGCACGGGAGAGGGCCTAAACCCCACCGGGCCTAAACTCACCCGACCGGGCCTAAACCCACCCGACCGGGCCTAAACCCGACCTGACCTAAACCCGACCTGACCTAAACCCGACCGGGCCTAAACCAGACCGGGCCTAAACCCGACTTGGCCGGCCTGGCGGCCGGGGTTTTAGTTAGGCCAAAGAAAGAGTAAAAAATGCAATTTTGATTTTGAAATTTTATTGCATAAATTGTTCATAAAAATAAATAATGTTCAACCCTTTACAAAGAATCGAAACGAACTTTAATAAAATACTTAATTTTTAGGCGAAATTTTGAGGTAAGTAAATTTACAATTAGTAACCTAAAACTCAAAATTTTGATGACCATGGAAAAAAATTCGAGCTTTTACAAACCCAGTGAGGGTTTTACTATTAAATGGGTTTACTTTAAGAAAAAACCTATTAAGTCTGGTTCAAAATTTTTTGTTGCACTGTGTGATTTGTATAACAGAAATATATCAGATACAAATTGTGCTATACAAAATTTGTGAGAATATATCCCTAAACCTATAAGTGATATAAACAATTAAAAGGGTTATGTTTCATTTAAATTGTAAATAAAAAGATTGTATGTAATTACTTCATTTCATTTTACAATGGAAGAATAGTAAAAAAAGTTGTTAATTAATAAAAAAGTAACCAATAAAAAAATTATGCAAAATTTTTATTTACCTATTTAAACATTTTAAATGAGTACAAATAAAATGAGCAACAAAATTAATAGGCAGTATTTACGCCCTTTAAGGTGCCAATCCACAAGGAGACTTAAATCTCAAGAGAAATTTATCTCAGATGTGTTTCCACAGAACTGAGATATTGTTTGTGCTTTCCACTAGCGTATTAACGTCATTTTGGTCTAATCCATCTCATTCATCAACCGCTGCTACTCTGAGCTCTTGTAATGTTTGTGGATGTTGTTGCTGGGCCTGAATCTTCTACGTGTCTTGTTCGATTAGGAGGCGCATTGTCTTCCATAAATATAAATTCTGGACCAACAGCGCCGAAGAATAGTATCAATGTTAAGTTGGCCATTCATGTTAAAAACGATAGGAATTATAGGAGTTTTATTATTTGCTATGATACCACCACAAAACATTATGGAATGGAATCCTTTGGACAGCTCGGCCAAGTCTATCTTGTCGATTTGGGTTCCGCCACCCCTAATCTGGCGATTATCGGACACAAGGCCCAGAATCGTCTAAAAAAAGCTCACTTCCTCATCTCTCTTCATTCAATTCTAAGTGTTAACACTTAAAATTTGCCAACTAATTCGTTGGGAAAGTCTAGACAAATTCCAAGTAAGTTTTTGGATATACAACGGTCTTCTTGTAAACAAATTTGATGCATGTTATCTGTTCCTTATGGTTTGATCACAAATGTCAATGTCGTGAGCCTGCAGGCGGTATCTTCTAATAGCTAGGGCATGGTCGGATTTTTTCAAGCAGTTAATATAATAAATCGTTTTTAGGCATTGGTCGTAATCTTAGGCCTACCTTTTTGGACGATTACCCACAGAGTTAACTCCTGGTATTTTTTTCACAACTCGAGAAACATCGCTCTGTTTAAATTCAACCTGTTCAGCATCGTGGGCTCGTGTATGGCCTTCCTGAATCAAAGTAATAATGTTAACTAGGTTGAACTCCGATATCACTTGCCGATTCACACAATAAGAACCACAATATAAAAAAATAGAAATAAACTTCAACAAGTCACAAATGTTAATAAACTTATAATATCAGCAAGTGGAGTCTTGAAAACAATAAAAAAAATCGGATAATATGCAATACATTTTTAACTGTGTGTATATATAATTATCTACATTAGAAGACTTGAAAGTGAAAATAAATATAAATTTGGTAATTCAATTACAATATTTTAAGTTTAACCCCTTCATCCACTTGCCCCTTTATAAATAATAATAATAATAATTATAATTATCTTTGTAGTTTTAAATTATTTATTTTTTAAATATTACTAAAAACAAGCCGATTTTAATTTAACGATCGATTTTAAATAGTTCTGTTTAAATCTTACTAATAGTAAGCTACTACGGTTCACACCAAATTTTCATAATAGTTTATTTAACTTTGGACTAATAATGTTGTTTTAAATTACATTTCCTTTTATAAAACTGTTATACATTTAAATTTTAATATGACATTTTAGGAGATTGGATGTGGATCATAGCATGACCACTAGGGTGTCCCTTATTTTTATTTTTTTTTACGCATACCCTCTAATTATATTTATTACTTGTTTATATACTCCCAGTAAAAATTTCAGCTCATTCTATAAACGGGAACCCGTGCCGACTTGCATCTAAACCCTCCGTTAGACAACGTTAGGCGCGCGCGGTATTTTGTAACACGAAACACTTTAAAAAGAAGATATACTTCATTTGTATTTTTCTAACGATTTTATTAAATATGATTACTAATTAATATTATTGCTTTTGTTTCTATCATTTGTTTCACTAATTTAGTTGATTTTATACCTTAAATATATTAATATACTAATTAGTATTGCTAAAATATACTGTTATATGAAATTTCAGCTTTTTGTAAGCATTTCTTTTCTTGATGTCTTCCCAAAAATATTTCAGACAGTTCAATAAGTTTTCGGTAGTCATCTCTCACAATAGACTCTTTTAGTTATTTAGAGTAAAACCCATTAAGTTTATCAATTTCAGAGTTTACGGCCTATTCGCCAGACCCTTCCGGGTAACTAGCCACTTCCTGTGAAAATATACATTTTTATCAAAGTATACACATAAATAAAATTATATTTTAACATTTGTCAATAATTTATAATATAAGGATCACATAATAACAAACACAAAATGACTTACGATCGAAGACCTCGCGACCAACCGTGTTACAAAATACCGCGCGCCTAACGTTGGCTAACGGAGGGTTCAGATGCAAGTCGGCACGGGTTCCCGTTTATAGAATGAGCTGAAATTTTTACTGGGAGTATATAAACACGTAATAAATATAATTAGAGGGTATGCGTAAAAAAAATAAAAATAAGGGACACCCTAATGACCACATACTAAACATTGTTTTTAGACAACGCAATTAATTACGTGGTTATAATCCACATCCCAATAAATTATTGTTTTAAATAAATAATAAACAGATAACAAATTGTCTTTTCTATGGTCACAAATGTACAAAGTATTTACAAAGAGGGTGTGCAGGAAATACATAATCTTTGGTATTTAATTATTTACTTATTATACTATACCTATTATGTAGTATTAAGTATATTGTAGCCAAAAATATTTAATTAAATTATAGATATCTTACTGTAAATTAATAAGTTAAATGTTTTTATTGAAAAGGCAAATAAAGTGCTATTTTTGTATAAATTTGTATTCTTATCCCAGTTGACCCAACCGAAACTTACACTCGAGATTTTACGACCAATAGAAGAATAGTCTGTTTAGCATATTGCGATTGCCTCTTATCCCAGAATAGTTGTAGTTTTACTCTTCTTAAAAATTAAATAATAAATCCTTTTATAAGTTACCTAATCTGGGATTACAGAAATAATACTGCGCATGTAAAAAAATATATCATTGTAATCTTCAATTGCTTTCTATATTTTTTCTATGGGTGCTTTGAGACTGAAAATGCGTAAAGTCACTCCGTATACAGGGCAGCCCAAGTAGCAAAATAGTTTTTTTAAGGTATACAAGGGCTTCATAAAACTACTCTTAAGGGTAATTTGCCTTGCTTAGTTAAAACCTATTTGCTTTAACAGCAGCTATAAACCCTGGCGAAAATAAAGCGTGCATGAAAAGTGTGCAATAAGTGTGTATTTGGAGTGCAAGTCTTTATAACAATGTGCATACACGCTACTTTGTGGTAATTTCACACTTTTTGAAATAATTAAGTTTTTTTCACTCTTTATGTACATTGACATCATGCTTTTTATTTGTCATATGTCACGCTTATATTACATTATATTTTAGCACATTGTTTGCACAGTGTTAGTACATTGTTTAAAGACATTTTGCAAAGCTTCAGTCTATCTTACGCATGTCACATTTTATACACACTGTTAGCACGCTTTAATATTTCTCATTTATGACGCTTTTATTACACCTTTTTATAGCACATTGTTTGTACAGTTTTAGCGATTACTCAACAGGTTAAGCACATTTTAGATATATCTTGAGTTGGGGTACAACATTTATTTAAAAGGTGAGGTAGATTCCATCTTATGTATTGCTTCTCGGCCTATTGCTAAGATCAAA